CTGAGCTGCTTTTGCTCAGGGCTTCATGCATGCTAGGCAAGCACTCTGCCACTAAGCCACATTCCGAGCCCTGATTGGTGTTTCTGAACACCCGAGTTGGGCCTTGGTGTGGAATGAGTGAGGCACGCCTCAGTCATTGCCTTGATTGCCCCTCCCTGCCCTGTGAGGAGCATGGCCGATCCAGCCTCCTTGGCAAGATGGGCAAACTGAGGGTGAGGAAAGTTCTCTGCACGGATCCTTCGGACCCTGGCACTCACCACCCATTGCTCACTCTTCCTTCTCACGCAGCTTGGAGCCCTTCCTGTATGGCCTACATGCCCTGTTCAAGGGGGATTTTCGCATCACCTCTCCACGGGACGAGTGGGTCTTTGCCGACATGGACCTGCTTCACCGAGTCGTGGCACCTGGCGTTCGCATGGCCCTCAAGCTTCACCAGGTGGGGGAGAGGCGTGCCCAGGCAATGTGGGAGGGTGGGAGATGAGGCTCCTCCCTCAGGGCAAAGGTCCTTGACCCCCCCTGACCTCCCATCCTCCCCACCAGGACCATTTCACATCCCCAGATGAATACGAGGAGCCCGCAGCCCTGTATGATGCCATTGCAGCCAATGAGGAGCGGCTGGTCATCTCCCACGAGGGGGACCCGGCCTGGCGCAGCGCCATCCTGAGCAACACGCCCTCGCTGCTGGCGCTGCGCCATGTCATGGACGACGCGTCGGATGAGTACAAGATCATCATGCTCAACCGGCGCCACCTCAGCTTCCGGGTTATCAAGGTGTGCGCGGCCCCCGGCCCCATCCTGCCGCCCAGGCCCCTGGCCCCATCCCGGGTGCCCTGACCCTCGCTGTGGCTGCCCACAGGTGAACAGAGAATGCGTGCGCGGCCTGTGGGCCGGGCAGCAGCAGGAGCTGGTGTTTCTGCGCAACCGTAACCCTGAGCGGGGCAGCATCCAGAACGCCAAGCAGGCGCTCCGCAACATGATCAACTCCTCCTGCGACCAGCCGCTCGGATACCCCATCTACGTGTCACCCCTCACCACCTCGCTGGCCGGCAGCCACCCCCAGCTGCGGGCGCTGTGGGGTGGCCCCGTCAGCCTGGGAGCCATCGCCCGCTGGCTCCTGCGCAGCTGGGAGAGGTGAGCCCTGCCCAGCTACGCTGGACTGTAAAGCCTCCCGCCCCTGTGTCCCCTTAACCCTCCCCACCTGTCACCCTCAGGCTGCACAAGGGCTGCGGCGCTGGCTGCAACAGTGGCGGCAATGTGGATGACTCTGATTGTGGGGGGGGCGGCGGCCTGACCTCCCTCAGCAATAATCCCCCCTTGGCGCACCCCACACCTGAGAACACAGCAGGTGAGCCGAGGAGGCCGGGTGGAGCAGGGGGTCAGGGCTGCGGGCCAGCTGAGGTCTCTGCCCTCGTAATCTGTCTCCTGCAGGCGGCGGGGAGCAGCCCCTCCCTTCAGGCCCTGGCTCGCTCAGCAGCTCCGGTGACGGGCGGCCCCCGCCTCTGCTGCAGTGGCCTCCCCCTCGGCTCTCTGGACCAGCACCCGCCTCCCCTGCTCTCACTGAGGTTCCCCGCCCCTCACGGCCCCCTGGCCCTGGGCTCCTCAGTTCTGAGGGGCCCAATGGGAAGTGGAGCCTGGGGGGTCGGAAGGGACTGGGAGGATCCGATGGGGAGCCAGCCTCAGGGAGCCCCAGAGGAGGCACCCCCAAGTCTCAGGTAAGGAGTCTCAGGGAGAATGGAGTCAGAGGACACTTGGGTCTGTCCCCTGCTAACTAGCCTTCTCCCGCTCAGGTGCCTCTGGACCTCAGCCTCAGCCCTGATGTGAGCTCCGAGGCCTCACCTCCTAGAGCAGCCCAGGACATTCCTTGTTTGGACAGCAGTGATGCCAAGAGTGGCACACCCACCGGGCTCCCGGGTGACTGGCCCGCCCCTGCCGAGGAGCGCGAGAGCCCAGCGGCGCAGCCCTTGCTGGAGCACCAGTACTGAGCGGCCCGGCACCCACCTCCCACAGACCTGTCCCAGGACCCAATGACTCGGACTCCCTCTGCTTCCTCTGGCCCTCTCCGTTGGACCACAGAACTGAGTAGCTTTGGCTCCCAAGCCTGAACCCTGACCTCTGTCTGCCTCAGCCAGAGTACCGGAACTGAATGGCCCAGACCTCTGACCTTGACCTCTGATCTCTCCCTAACTCGTGGCCTGGGTGCTCTAAGCTGAGGCAGTCAGCCTCCCAGCCAAGCCCCAAGAGCCAAACCCATGGGCTGGTCCCTCTTTGAGCCTGTGACCAGGACTGACTCTGCCCTGGGCCTGCACTGCCTGAAAGGCTGGTCCCTCGGCCTGACCTGGGGCCTGAAATGTGGCAAGGCTGGTTTGTTCTTTCTTTCTTTCTTTTTTTTTTTTTCGTGCTTCAGAGACACCAAATTAATAACACTATTTTTGATTTTGGTTGGCAGTTTCTTCTTCTCTCGGGGCATGGGTGCAGGGTGGTAGAGGTGGTCAGGTTGGAGGGAAGGATGTAGGGCTGAGGCGTGAAGGTCAGCTCAAGGTGAGGATTGAATGAGATAGATCCCCTCCCCACATACCTGTTCCCCTCACAAGGCTTCATGTGAAGATTGCTGGGTTTCGTGTCCCTGTGTAGTCAAAGGACTAGGTCTAGTGGCTCCCACGTTTGTCTGCCTTGATCTAGGCCTCTGAACCTCAGTTGTTCCAACCTTAGACCATAGGATCTGTGTAAGGTGTTTGTTTCTTTGTTTTGGTTTGTTGTAGAACTTGAACTCTAGGTAGGCCTGGGCACTGTCCCTGAGTTTTTAAACTCAAGGCTAGTGCTCTACCACTTGAGCCACAGAGCTACCCTCAAGTTTTTCTGCTTATGTGGTGCTGAGAAATCGAACACAGGGCCTCATGCATGCGAGGCAATCACTCTACCACTGAGCCACTTTCCCAGCCCCATGTAAGGTGTTTTAAGAATAAATGGGCTGGACATCCATGGCTCACTCCTGTGATCCTGACTACTCAGAAGGCTGAGATCTGAGGATTGCAGTTCAAAGCCAGCCTGGCCAGGAAAGTCCATAAGACTTGTCTCCAATTAACCACCAGAAAACCAGAAGTAGCGCTATGGCTCAAGTGGTAGGGCACCCGCCTGAGCTGAAGAGCTGACAGACAGCGCCCAGGCGCAGAGTTCAAGACCCATGACTGAAAGAAGAAAAAAAAAAAACCTGCTTGCCAGGTACTACTGGCCCACTCCTGCAATCCTAGCTACAGGAGGTTGAAATCTGAGGGTCAGGGTTCAAAGCCAGCCTGGGGAGGAAAGTTTATGAGATTTTATCTCTAGTTAATCACCAAAGAGCTGAAGTGGAGCTGTGGCTCAACTAGTAGAATGTTAGTCTTAAGCAAAAAAGCTAAGGACAGTGCTTAGGCCCTGTATTCAAGCCCTAGTGTGGATGCGCGCACACACACCACAAATAGGCTGGATTCACACACACACACACACACACACACACACCCCACAAATAGGCTGGATTCCCATTCTTAATCCTAGCTGAGGAGGCCAAGACCTGAAAGATCATTGTTGGAAGCCAGCATGGGCAGAAAACCCCATCTCCAATTAACTAGCAAAATGCTAGATTGCAAGGGCTGAGAATGTGGCTTAGTGGTAGAGTTCTTACCTAGCATGCACAAAGCCCTAGGTTCAATTCCTCAGTACTACACAAACAGAAAAAGCCAGAAGTAGTGCCGTGGCTCAAGTGGTAGAACACTAGCCTTAAACACAGAGAGGCTCAGGGATAGTGCCCAAGCCCTGAGTTCAAGCCCCAGGACTGACCAAAAAAGGAAAGGGTTAGGGAAGCCAGTGCCTGTGTCTCAGTCCTATAATCCTAGCTACTCTGGAGGCTGAGGTCTGAGGTCATGTTTCAAAGCCAGGCAGTAAAGTTCATGAGATTCTTCCAATTAATTACTGAAAGCAGGAAGTGGAGCTGTGGCTCAATTAATAGAACGCTAAGCCTTGAGCAAAAAAAGCTCAAGGACAGTACCCAGGTTCAGGACCCAAGACCTGCACACAAAAGGGGTGGAGTGAAATACAAAAGGGGTGGGGTGGAGCAGAGAACTGGGCACTGGTTGCTCATGCCTGTAATCCTAGCTATTAAGCAAGCTGAGATCTGATTATCCTGGTTCAAAACCAGCCTGGATAAGAAGGTCCATGAGGGGCTGGGAAGGTGGCTCAGTGGTAGCGTGCTTGCCTTGCATGCACGAGGCCCTGGGTTCGATTCCTCATCACCACAAAAAAAAAAACAACAGAAAAAGGTGGAAGTGGGACTGAGGCTCAAGTGGTAGAGTGCTAGTCTACAGCTGTAGAGTTCATGCCCCACGACCAACAACAACAACAAAAAGGTCCATGAGATGTTTTACCTCCAATTAACCACCAGAAAACTGGAAGTGGAGCTGTGGCTCAAAGTGGTAGAGTGCTAGTCTTGAGCTGAAGAGCTCAGGAACAGTGTTCAAGCCCTGAGTTCAAACCCCAGGACTAACCAAAAAAAAAAAAAAAAAGGCAGGGGGAGAGAGAAGGACTGACCAAATAAAAAGGGGGGGGCTTGATGAGCAGGCCTTGAGTTCTAACCTCAGTGATCATGCCCAACCCCAAGGGATGAGACAGCATGTGTAACGAAGTAACTCAAGGCCCAGCACTTAGTGATCAATGAAATAGCCCCAGTGCCTGAGCACCTGCTGTCCGCCACCGAGGGCTGGACGCTAGGTGGCCTCCTCTGGCCCTTCCCATCTGTCTGTGCATTCGTTTCCGTTTCTCTGCCAGGTGGCAAGAGAGTTAGAAGGATGGTTGGAGGCCCGATGGCTGCCTGGCCTCCGGCCATGCGGGGATGACCAAGTCCAGGCAAGGCATCCCGCCCGCGGTGCTTCCCGCCTGGGACGGCTCGCCGTGACCACGCCCCTTCAGGCCACGCCCCCTTCAGGCCACGCCCCCAGGCGGAGCCGGCTCCCGGAGCCGTAGCGGGAGAACAGACAGCCGGACCGGCGCGGGAGGTGGCGGTGAAGGCCAGGCGGGACCCCCAGAGGTACAGCGGGAGCAGGGGGCTGAAGGTATAACCGGTCGGGCCAGACAGGGAACGAGGTGGCCTGGCTGTAGACTCGGTGGTGGGAGGGACGGGGTTCCCCGCCACCCGCACCGCCCTGCCTCCCTCTGGCTGCAGCTCCGTCCGGAGTCCGCGTGTCCAATCCCCTGCTCTGGCCGGCGGCTCCCACTCCCTCCCCGGCGTGACAGCCCGGCCCGGCCGGTGAGCTGAGAGGATTCACCGGCTCCCGAGTTTTCTTGATGGTTCTGGCAAGTGCTCCTGCTGCCCAGGGCGTGGGGGGCTCCCCCTATTCTGGGGCTCCCCTTTCTCCCTGGGAGACCTCCTCCTTAGCCTTTACACACATTGCTCCCCTCCCGTCCTCCACTCCTGGCCTGGAAGGAAACATCTGTCGCGCCCCCTGGCAGTAGAAACAGGGTCATGACCTCCAGATGTGCTGGGAAGCTTCCAGCGCCTTCTCCTGGGGCAGCCAGGCCTTCCGGATCTGTGGGGGCGGGGCAGCCCCCCTTCCCCCCCCCAGTGACACAGGCTGCAAGGAATGTCCTGGCCTCAATGGACCCTGTGTGAAGCCATGGGATGGGGGGCAGAGCCCGAGAACACCCCTTAAGACAGGGCCAAGAGCTGGGCACCAGGCCAGAGCAAGAGGCAGCGCAAGGGCTGGGCTGCACACATTCAGAGCTCATGCTCGCGAGCTGCACACTCACACATGTACAGAGCTCAGCCCACAGGGTCAGGGCCCGAACAGACATCCTCCTTGAGCTTCTCTGTAGCCCAGGCCCAAGCCTGCATGGGTCAGAGCTTGGCACTAGGGGCTGGGGACTGAGCTCTGCACACAGGTGACCAGCTTCACGGGCTTAAACCTCCTTTCAGTCACTCAGCAGTCCTGGGAAAAAGTAGGAAAAGTTAACCCTTTGCTTAGAGATGAGGAAATAGAGGTTCTAGGTCAGCCTGAGAGCTTATCCTCAGAGAAACCAAGGTAGGAGGCCCCCTGAGCTTTGGAGGCTTACCCTTATTTGGTTCTGGAGGCCCAGCTGAGGGGTGCATGGAGCCCCTCCCCTCACTCAGTTCTGGCCCAGCCCCCGGAGATGTTACTGGGTAATATATGAAGACTTACCCGACCATGTCTACACCGGCCCCTGCCCTACCTACCCACCCATCTGTGGTTCACCCGTGGTTCACTCTGTCGTGGTCTCACACTACCCTCACACCTGACTCTAGCCTCCCCCCATTTCCGCACTTAGTAGGCCCCAGGGGCCTTGAGTGTGTCACTCTTACATCCTGTGAGGACATGAACTGGCCCCAACCCCCACCTGCCCTACACCTACACACACACACACACACACACACACACACACACACGGAGAGGACGAGGCTCACATGTGAGCTCTAACACAGAATCGCTCTGTTTGCTTATCTGGACCTCCGTTTGGCCTTCTGTTACACTGGGTGCAGACCAGGGAGGCAGAGGTCCTATGGACCCTCGTTCCAGCAAAGGGGCCCAGGCCGCCTTATCCTCTTTCTTGCACAGTAACCTGCGAGAGGGGAAGCCTAGGCCTGTCCTTCAGGCCAGGGTGCCCTGGAGTCCATGATTGAGCTGGTGTGACCCCAGCACCTTCCTCAGGATGTGGAAGCCAGGCAGGGGGCTGGGCCCAGAGTTGGGGCCATTTCCTGAGTTGCAGGAAGTCCTCTTGCTGTTCCCTGCTGCCCTGCAGCCATCCCCAGGAGCCAGTATCCTTGAAGCATTGAGGCTCCATGTAGGAGCCAGGGCATTGAGAGCAGGCCTTGGGTGCTCAACTCCTCAGGGACCCTGGAGGAAGTGGGAGGTGCAGGGAGGAAGGTCTCTGGGGACAGGACGTCCTCCCTTTGTCAAGAGGGCAGGACCCAGATACTAGTAGCCCCGTGGGTTTCCCATCCCATCCGAGAGGAGTTATCTGTCCAGTTGGGCTACAGTGAGGACCATCGCTGGGCCCAGGCCACAGCCAAAGGTGTGTGGATTGGAACTGGAGACCCTGGTAGCTAAGTTTTGCCCAGGCTCTGGGACCCTCAAGGCCAAAGTCCCACAAACCAGCCTCTGGCCCTGCCTCCCACTACTAAGCCTGGGAGGGGGCTGGAAACCTCAGCTCTAGGCAGACAAGGAAGTGGCCAGGAAAGCGGAAGCAGCTTTGATGGTCTTGGAGGGAGCCGGAAGCCAGCCAGGGTGGTGGAGGACCCGGCTGGGGGCCTGTGTTCCTGTTTTCTCCCCAGGCCCATGTGAATAGCCCCCTCTTCCTTCAGGACAGGATCTGCCGCCGCAACCTCAGCCTGCAGGCTGTGCACCAAGCACCCGTGCCCGCCAATGCGTCCCGGCCCTCAGAGAGTCAGGCCCACAGATCACGTCCATGTGGGCTGGCGGTGTGGGGAGCCCTCGGAGGGGCATGGCCCCTGCACCCACTGATGACCTCTTTGCCCGTAAGCTCCGCCAACCAGCCCGACCTCCACTGACACCACTCACCTTTGAACCAAGGCCAACCCCAACCCGGGGCCCACTCCTGCGAACTGGCAGTGATGCAGGTGAGGCCCGGCCTCCTACGCCAGCCAGTCCCCGGGCCCGGGCCCACAGCCATGAGGAGGCCAGCCGTCCTACTGCAACTCCCACCCGGCTTTTCACCGACCCATTGGCCCTGCTGGGACTGCCAGCCGAGAAACCAGAGCCCACCTTCCCACCAGTGCTGGAGCCCCGGTGGTTTGCTCATTATGACGTCCAGAGTTTGCTCTTTGATTGGGCTCCACGACCACAGGGAACAGGGAGCCACTCAGAGGCCAGCTCTGGGACTCCAGCCTCCGCTGAGAACCAAGCTGCCAGCTCAGAACTGCTACTTGGGGCACCTGGCTTTGTGAGTGAGCTCGGGGGTGAGGGGGAGCTAGGCCTAGGTGGTCTGGTTCCTCCACCAGTGCCTCCCGCACTGCCCAATGCTTCTGTGTCGGTCCTGGAAGAGCCACAGAACCGAACAGCAGCCTACAGCCTGGAGCACGCGGACCTGGGCGCTGGGTATTACCGCAAGTATTTCTTCGGCAAAGGTAAGAGGAGCCGGCAGGTCAGGGGACAGGCCGGGAAGGGTCTGAGGTGCTCACAGTAGGGTCTGTGTGGGCTATTTCCTGTCATAGTGGCCATAAGAAGAAACAGGAGGGGCTGGGGATGTGGGTTAGCGCTAGAGTGCTTGCCTAGCATGCATGAAGCCCTGGGTTCCATTCCTCAGTACCACATAAACAGAAAAAGCTGGAAGTGGTGCTGTGGCTCAAGTGGTAGAGTGCTGGCCTTGAGCAAAGGGAGCTCAGGGACAGTGCCCAGGCCCTGAGTTCAAGCCCCAGGACTGGCACAAAAAAAACAACAACAAAGAAACAGGAGCTGAGCTAGAGAGCTGCTGGCCCACCTCCAAGCCCTAGTTCCCACGGCCTGGCCCGCATGTCCTCTGATCTGGCTCATCCTCATAGCCCTCCTGGCTGGGAAGAGATTTCCTATCTACATTTCTGTGACCGAGTTCCTTGCATTTAGGAACCTTCTGGCCATTGCTGAGAGAAAGGCATTCCTTCCCCTCCCCTCACCCCCCAGCTTTGGAAGAATACATGTGTCCTGGGCGGGGCGGCCCCGCGGGAAGGCGGGGCGGGGCGGGACTTAACCAGCGTCTACACTGATGCGATTGGCTACCAGAAGCGGGACTTCGTGGTGGGCGTGGCCGAGCAGGGTGGAGGTGGGTCGCTTGGGGGTGGGAACGAGCGCCCATTCCGGCCCCCTCTCTCCAGAACACCAGAACTTCTTCGGGATGGACGAGGTGCTGGGCCCCGTGGCCGTGAGCCTGCGGCGGGAGGAGAAAGAGGGCAGCGGAGGGGGCACCGTGCACAGCTACCGCGTCATCGTGCGGACCACACAGGTGGGCAGGGACCCCGGGATCCGGCCGGGGTCACCTCCTCCACAGCCTGTTCAGATCCTGAGCGCTCTCACACCCCCTTCTCAGCTCCGGACCCTCCGAGGCACCATCTCAGAGGATGCACTGCCACCAGGGCCCCCAAAGGGCCTATCTCCAAGGAAGCTTCTGGAACACGTGGCGCCAAGACTGAGCCCCACCTGCCTGCGCCTCGGCTCAGCTTCCCCCAAGGTGCCACGCACGCTGCTTACGCTGGATGAACAAGTGGTGAGTGACCGGAAGGGAAGGAGGTAGTCCTGATCTGACCTCAGCCGGCCTCGCTGTCACCCATGAGCCCTGACCTCAGGCTTGAACTGGGCACTAACCCCAGAGCTGGTCCACCTCCAATGTTCCAGAGGGAAAGACCAGAGGTCAGCTGGAGCCTTGCTTGTATACCACACAGCTTCCATTAGTTAGAAATGCAGATTCTGAGTGGGCGCCTGTGTTTAACCCTTGTAAATCCTAGTTACTCAGGAGGCTGAGATCTGAGGATTGCAGTTCAAAGCCAGTCCAGGGGGAGAAGTTCCTGAGCCTCTTATCTCCAATAAACCACCAAAAAAACTGGAAGTGGTGCTGTGGCTTAAGTGGTAGAGCACTCGCCTTGAGCTGAAGAGCTGAGGGACAGCGCCCAGGCCCAGTGTTCAAGCCCCATGACCAACAGGGAAAAAGAAAAAAAAAATGCTGGGATGTAGCTCAGTGGCAAAGTGCTTGCCTAGCAAATGCAACATCCTGGGTCCAGTCTCCCCAGTACCAAAAAAAGACAAAACAAAATACAGTTAAACAAGGGCTGGGAAGGTGGCTCAGTGGTAGAGCGCTTGCCTTGCATGCTCGAGGCCCTGGGTTTGATTCCTCAGCACCACAGAAGCAAAAAGAAAAAAGCCGGAAGTGGCGCTGTGGCTCAAGTGGTAGAGCTCTAGCCTTGAGCTGAAGAGCTGAGGGACAGTGCCCAGGCCCAGAGTTC